TGGCACAGTGCTACTAAGCTGGTGGATCCTAAAATTTTAGTATAAAAATAGAATGAGTGCTCATTTTGATGTATTTCTTACATTTTCTGACTCGTGTCTTATTTTTAACAGTTCACAGCTTAGATGGGGGAGGGGCACTGGAGAGGGAAGGCACAACTACCCCACAGCATCTGGAAGTGAGGGGAAGTAACAGGGTAACAGGTCAGACAGACAGACAGACAGACAGTTGAGAGGGTAAAACTGCAGTCTGGGGAGGGTTGCACCAGTTCTCGTCAATATAAATGCATGCATTTATAAATATCTCATGAGGATTTTTTCTAAATATCTCCCCAATATTTAAAGAATTTAATGACTGCCCAGTCATTGAAAAATGAATGCTAAAAGCTACTAACCAACCCACACCAGGAAACCCCATTCTCCTCCCCAACACTAAAGCAAAGCTTTCCTACTTCTGGCCAAGCTCCCAAACTTAACACTGAAGAGTTTAGGCATAAGGAAATAAAAATGTAGATTCCAAAAATAAGAATGTAGAAATAAAGAAATATAAAGTTATAAGTCTAGGAAAATAAAAACAGACTGTCAGCAGCTTTCTCAGCAGATCAAGGATCATTCATTCACAGTGAGTTATTTCCTCAGATGCTTGGGAAGTATAGGTCATTTTACAACTGGCTGTTCTATTTACAAGGCCAGAGTGTCTCTCTACAAATTAAGATCAGTGTCCTGACCATCCTTGATAAAGGCAGATGTGAACTGAGTTAACCTTTAGGAGACAGAGCTATGTGACCTCTGGGTTAGACATTGTCTCTGTTATGGGAAACTGGCGCCACCAGAGGAGAGGCATAAGACCCCAGTTTACACCCGGAGGTACCAGGAGACAGTGGATAAATACAAAGGTTTAATTAGTGAGCTCTGATAATGGAGGTTGTAAAGTATGGCAGTCAGTATCTGAGTTTTACCTGGAAACAGTGTGAAAGGCTTTTCTTTTAAGTTCTCAGCCCAGGAACCAGTTAATCCTAATTTATTAACCTTAGTATTACAAGCAGCCCCTTTTCTGACTAATTGCTAAAGATATCTGTTTTCTCACAATTAGTGACTTTCGTTGTAATCTCCCCTGAAACATATTTCATGATGGCTGCCTAATTACTCATTGACATTAGCACTCACTCCTCTCTTTAGGGTCTCCGCTGACCAACCCAAGGGTCAGGGCAAGGTTGTAAAACTTCTCTTGTTCAGAGATAATGCCTGGTGCCCCTACTATAAAAAGTGGGTTCAGAAACCAGCCTTTTGCCACAACCTAACAAACACCATCTCTGGCTGTTGTCTCAGCTAGCTGATAAGCTTCTGTGCCCCGTGGTGTTTTATTTTTATTTTTTTATTTTTAAGTTTGCTTCTGGTTTTCCTAGGATCTGGATTCTGGAATAAAGTTTGCTTCTGGTTTATTAGACTTGGTGGTGTTCTCATCTTTGCACGACACCCCTGGACCCAACAAACACAGCAACCTCAACTCCCAGCAGCCCTTGTAAGGCTCTCTTTCCACCAAACAAATTGTTTCTTACAAATATTTTTACTTTGCAAACCCCAAAAGTCAAGGAACAAGACTGCAAATATATCTATGCCTTCACGTCACTGGGCCCATTTCCATGTTATATACAATATTACACTTTACTTAGACAAGGGGCTAAATATATAGGGCTTAATCTAAAAGGACCAGACAATTTTCTACAGGTCTCTTATTTCACATATTAACTTTGCTTAAAGTCATTTTAATAACTTACCTATGAAAGTCCATTATTTTATTCCACCTTCCGAGAGTTCGAAGAACTCTATTGGATGCTAGCTTGCCCTAATGTCTAGAGACTCACTCCCCATTGTACTAATGTCCCACATACAATCCCAGTTCACCTCATACGTAATTCTATATAGTACAGAAACTGCAAATCCTGATTGCTACTCTCCTGCATGAGTCTGCAGAAGACTGTACTTACCAGTTAGGTAGGAGAGCCACAGCTTCTTGTCACAGTCTCCCCTGCTAGTCCTCTGCTGCTGATGGAGTCTTCCAGATCTGCCCATGGATAAAGGCAAGTCTTTCTTGTAACTCCATCTTTATCTCCTGGCCACACCTTCAAGTGTTTTGTTTGAAAATTGAGTCTCTAAAGTTCTACAATCTTTTGCCAGATAGCATCTATTCACTCATTTAGGGAGACCTCAAGAAAATAATTAAAATAGCACCCAGGAAGCAGAGGCAGGGTATCTTGTGAGTTGAAGCCAGTCTGATCTGCATTGTAAGGCCTTTTCTCCAAGACAGCAAAACAACAACAAGAACCAAATTTCTGCTGCGGTGTCTCCAGAGCCTCAGCGAAGCTCTTCACCTGAGTTCATATTCCAGCCTGGAGATCGTGGCTACTCTGAGATGGTTCCTGGATATGGGGAATTGAAAAACCTGGAACAACTTTCTCACTTGCAGACGAATAAAGGGAAAGGCAGAAGAGGCACAGAATATAGATAGAGCCCCGTGAGGGTCCTGGAGCAGAGGCAGAAGTGAAAGCTGACACCTTATACTCACTGCTCTGCCATTCAGCTGCCATCATCCTAACACATGTTCACTTACAGCCCAAGTTATCAGTGGAAGAGTCTCAGCAAATGAAGCTAGAAGAGAGACTCTGCTTGCAGAAGTGAGGGAGAGAGGATGCAACGTCCAAAGCTGAGCTTCTCCATGTACCGATGCTCCCTTCCCGTGTACTAACTGGTCTATGTAACTTCCACAGTTAGGTACTTGTGCAAGACGGGAAACTGGATGTGACGATTTTCTGTTCTGGCAAATAGGAGGTGCTATATTTTCTGAGCAAATGTTTCCAGGAGGTATTGTAGTTTTCAGGGCTTCCTCTTCTCAAACCAAATAAATAACTAAATGCACCTTGTGTGGACTTCATAAAGATGCTGAGGACAATGTCACAGATCTATCTGCTTGGGGCTAAAACTTCTGAACCATCAGCATCTGAGTGACTATAAGTTGCTGCCCTACACCCATTTAGGGGAAGACAGATGAGTCGGGGAATTTAATATCATTAGGCTTTACTAAATGGACTTGGGATAATCATTTCAGTTTGGATTTGTAGTGTGTTGTTGTTTGTTTTCCTTTCTTGTTCTGAGACAGGATCTCACTGTGTAATGCAGGGTAGCCTGAAGCTCCTATGTAGCCAAGCATGACTATAAACTTGTCATCCTCTTGCCTCGCCTTGTGCTGGCATCGCAGGTGTGCGTGGGTTTCTGCTGTGCTGAGGTTACAACCCTGGACTCTGTGCATGCTTGGCAAGCACACTAAAGCTGGCCTCCATCCACAGCCAGGATGGTCATCTTACAGTTAATGTTAAACTTAAATCAAGATGTCCCACACTCCCTGGGCACCACGTGAACTGTCCATGCCAGAAAAGCTGTATAAAATTTGTGCTAAACCTTGTCAACATTCTACTTTGAGGTTGCGACCTTATACAATATGAACTCTGGGTATTAACAGTGCATGTTTGCAAAGAAAAACAACATTTTATTGGAACTTCGTAACCTGAAAATATTTCCAAGAAATACTAATTTTTTTTTAAAGTACAAAACAATCTTAGTTGGCTTCATAGGAACCCATTTTGGCAAAAACTCAAGACAATGACAACTTATTTACCTGCATTTGTGTAGAGGTGGAAATGTCATGAAAAAGTCACCAGACTCCTCAGCATGCCTTTCAGGTAGAGAAGCAGCTGCAATAGGAGGACTGTAGTTTGTAGCTGTACGCATTTTATCTTTTATCATTTGAGTATCATAAAAGACTCATTAATATATGTTAAAAGGATTCTTTTGTTTGCTTTTAAATTTGTTTGGTATTTGTGTGTGTGTGTGTGTACATGTGAGTGTGTATACATGTGAGTGTAAGCCACATGCATTCCCGTGGAGACTAGAAGAGAGCAATGGATCCCCTGGAGCTAGGGTTATAGGTCATTATACGCTTCATGGGGGTGCTGGGAAATTCATCCAGGTCCAGTGGAAGAGCCACAGGCACTCTGAACTGCTGACACATCTTTCCAGCCACACGCTAAATGTGTGACATAAAATTAGATGAAGGAGCAGCAGGAGCCACAGCCTGAGCCTCGAACTGAGTAAGAAGAGGAAGCAGCTGAGCGACAGATTTATCGTCCTACTTCCTGACTGTGCACGCAATGGCACCACCATTGTGCCTCACGTTGCTGCTGCCATGGTCCCCACTATGATGGACAGTAACCTCAAAGGGTGAGCAAAAATACACCCTTCCTTCCTCGGAAGAGTTAACAGAAAATAAGGTTTCTTTTTAAGGAATACAAAGCAAAGCGACAAGTCTCCAATTATGAATTGTTATAAATGGAAGTACTTTCATTAGCATGATTTTATTTTCTCAGCATTATTACAGCCTTTCTTTCTTCCTTTATTTCATTTCTTCCTTCTCTTAATAAGACAGACCGTCCCAGAAGGATGCCACCAAGTATGTGGAAGGATAGAAGACCATACACATACAAATGCCACACTAAGAGCACCTTTCCCTCTACCAAGTACCACATTATGTGACGATGGGTCATGGGACAGACATTAGATTCTGTCACACGTGCCAGCTCATGAGATCACCAATTCCTACTTTGGAAAACCTACTCTATTTGTCTGCCTTATTCAATAGGAGTCCTTTGAATTTCGTAGAACTACTTTAAGCAAATGTGGTGCTAAAAGTTTGTATTTCCAGAGCAGGAGACAAAGACATGGTGAAGAGCTCCCTCCCAGTGCCCTTCAGAATGCAGTGGCAGCAGCTCTGCTCCTGGCTCCCTGGGTCTTGCTGCTCCACTGCCTGGATTTTGACCTAAGCTGCTGCCTTCTGATGCATTCTGACTTCCTTGAAAAAAAAATCATGAATCCTTTTCTTTCTTTTAAAAACTTTAAAAAATATTTTTTATTTCTTTTTATGTGTATGGATATTTTGCCTACCTATGTATGTCTGTGCACCACAAAAAAAACCCTCAGTTTTTTTTACTTAGAGAATATTTCTTGCAGCAATATTTGTAATATAAAAAAGTACACATACATTTGTTTCAGCTTACTACATATCTGCCTGTAATAAGTAAATACATACAAAAATAAAATGTGTTCACCAAGAAAAAGAAAGGAAGTTCCAATGTGCAATTGTTTACGAATAGGTAGAGAAACAACTCCTGGTGGGAGCTGTCCTGTTGCCACTGAGTGTCGCTGTGACGGCATGACTGGAAAGAAGCAGCTAGAAGGGTGTGGATGTCAGGTTCATAGTCTTTACCTGAGCTTCCAGGATGGTGAGGCTGCTGTGTGTGTATTGGGAATTCTTAGCCTGAGGAGGATGGTTGATGTCCTTGTTGGAAGAACAGTGAAAACTTCAGAGAATCCCCTGAGGCCTGGAGCAGAAAGGCCTTGAAGCCACTCACCCTCGGCACTGAGCCTTCCCTTCACCACAGCTCAGCCAATGGCAGGTCAGGAGAGTTTGGCCAGCATCTTGTGGTCAACTGTGACATGAGGAAATTGGGGGGCCCTGGAAAGGCAGGAGGATGCAGATCCCTGTTAGTTTGAAGATAGCCTGGTCTATATAAGGAATAATTTAGCATGACTTAGCTAGAGAGTTTGCCATAATAAGACTTTCTCTAAAAATAAAGGTGGCGGGGGAAGGGGGGAGAAGAAAGAGTAAGAAATTGTTCCAGCCCTCCTGAATTGTGGTGCATACCTCTGACCACAACAATGGAGCCTGGAGACCGGAAGATCCGGAGGCAGTTGGCTCTCTGTTGATGAGGCCAGCCTGGTCTAGGTAATAAGCTTCAGACTAACCATGGTGACAGTGAGGCCCTCAAACAAACAAACAAACAAATAAATAAAACAAGCAAAAAGTCAAAAACAAGCAAGCAAATAAAATGAGAAAAGAATCAGCAGGTTCAAATAACAAAATGTAGAAATTACAATTATTGCTTTGCAGTCGCTATAAGAATAAGGTATAAAGCCATAGTGAAATAGCTCAAAGGAGACACAACAGCAATGATCATATTCAAACAATGCCTCTGCCTACTGAGTGCTGGGGGGATTAAAGATGTGCACCATCGTGAATGGCTGATTGCTTCTTTGTTTGTTTGTCTGTTTGGGGATTTTTTTTCTGTTTTGTTTTTTGAGATAGTGTTTCTCCCTGTAACAGCTCTGGCTGTCCTGGAACTTACTTTGTAGACCAGGCTGGCCGCAAACACATAGAAATATCTGCCTGCTTCTGCCTCCCAAGTGCTGGGATGCTAGGATTAAAGGCGTGCACCACTACCACCCGGCCTGATTTTTTTTTTATACAAGGTTTTGTTATTCATCGTATGTTGGCCTGCAGTGTGCTCTGTAGTACTGGCTGCCTTCAAATTTGCATTCTTCCTTCCTCTGCCTCCAAAGGTCAGGGATTTCAGGCACGTACCACCACATCTGGTGGTTCCATTCATTTTAAATCTAGCTCATTTAAAATACCACTCTACCTTCTGTTCCCCATCTTTGCCACTAAAGCACCCCATCCTCCCTCCATATAAACTGTGATACAGCTTTGTGATTCTAGACCAGCCCTGCCCAGGACAACGCAGTGGGGACAATAAAAGTGATTTTGAATCTTGTAGCATCCAGCGTATTTTGGGTTGTTCCTGTTTTGCTTTGTTTGAGATGGTTTCGCTGTATATCCCTGACTGGTCTCAAAATCAGTTTGTAGACCAGGCTGGCCTTGAACTCACAGAGATTCACCTGCCTCTGACTCACAAAAGTTCCAACTGCTTTTTACACTCTGGTGTCTGTTTCCTTCCTTTGAATCAGCTCTGATGTAACCGAACGCGTACAGTTCAGCTCAGTCAGTGCAGCCCAGCTGGGTTATGAACTCATTCACACAGCTCTTGAGTAAAAGGGGCCAAGTACAGTGAGGCTGTTCCCTACTCATTTGCTTCAGGGATGGATTTCTGCATCAGTTTCGCTTTTGTTTTGTTTTGATGGCAGTGTTAATGTGGGAGGGAAGATTTAGTTGGATCTTATGTAATCAGTATTTTCTTGAACTTCTAATGTGGGCAAAGATGACCTTGACCTCTGGACCTACCTGCCTCTGACCCCATTATTGTGGTCACATGCAGGGCTGGAATCTCTCTCTCTCTCTCTTTCTCTCTCTCTCTCTCTCTCTCTCTCTCTCTCTCTCTCTCTCTGTCTCTCTCCTTTCCTTCCTTTCTATTTTATTTTTAGATAGCATCTTCCTATGTCAATCTCTCTAGCCAGGTCATGCTAACTTACTCCAAATATAGACCAGACTGGCTTCAAACTCACAAGAATCTGCCTCCTCTTGCCTTCTCAGTGCTCCCCAGTTTTCTCATGCCAAAGTTGACCACTAAATCTTAGCCAGACTCTCCTGACCTGCCATTGGCTGAGCTGTGGTGGAGGGAAGGCTCAGTGCAGAGGGTGAGGGGCTTCAAGGCCTGTCTGCTCCAGGCCTCAGGGAATTCTCTGCAGATTTCACTGTTCTTCCAATAATGACATCAACCATCCTCCTCAGGGTAAAAATTCCCAGTACACACGCAGCAGCCTCACCATCCTGGAAGCTCAGGTAAAGACTCTGAAATCTGACATTTCACACCCTTTTAGTAGCTTCTTTCCAGTCAAGCCATTATAAGGACACTTCTCAGGGCAGCCTGCTGGAAGCTAATTGTTTTACGGTAGCCTAAAAAGATACAGATCTCCTTGGGTTATTTATTTCCTCGTTGCTCAACTTTTTATCCTAAAATAATTTAGAACTGCAGCAAAAATAGTGTACCTATAGTCATCCAATTTCCTCAAATGTCAGCAGCGTACACACCACGGGACCTTGACAGAAACAAAGAAACTGCCATGATACTATTAAGTGAGCCCTGTTCCTTGATGGGTGTACTGGAGTTGGTTCAAGTGTCAATGCTTTAACTGGGTGTGATTACACATGACTACAATCTTAGCTCATGACTGAAATTCCAGCACTAGGCAGGTAGAAAGTATGTTGTTTGTGTGAGGTTAATCTGATCTACATAGCAATAGTTTGTCTCAGAACACCAAGGGCTGTAATGTGGCTTAGGGGTAGAGTAATTGCCTAGCCTATCTGCAGGACCTTCATTTTTGATCTCCAGCACATAAAAATAAAATCTGATTAAAAAATATAATATATTGTACAGTACAGGGTCTTTACAGATGGCTCAGCAGTTAAGATTTCTTAATGCATTTCCAGAGGACCTGGGTTTGGTATCCAGCACCCCTTTTAGGCACCAAACAACTGCTTATAACTCCACCTTTGAGGGATCCTATGCCTTTTCCTGGACTCTGTGGGTGTGGATCTCGGGATTGTGTAGCAGGTGAACACACACACACACAGTGAGAGAGAGAGAGAGAGAGAGAGAGAGAGAGAGAGAGAGAGAGAGAAGACTCAACTACATATACATCAACAAAAAATACATAACTAGATAAGCAAGATAAAAAGACTGTTAATCTCTATTGAACTTTTAAAAATAAATAAAATGCAGCAGAAAGATGGGCATTGTGACGCATACCTGAAATCTAGTAATCTATACACAGAGGCAGAAAAGTCAGGAGCCTAAGGTCAGCCTTAGGTACCCTGGGAATTCTAGGCTAGCCAAGGCTACATGAGACTTTGTTCAAAACAAATAATAATGTACTGGCTGCTTTTATGTGTCAACTTGGCACAAGCTAGAGTCATCAGAGAGGAAGGAGCCTCAGTTGAGCAAATGCCTCCATGAGATCCAGCTGCAAGACATTTTCTCAACTAGTGATCAATGGGGGAAGGGCCAGCCCTCGGTGGGTGGTGCCATCCCTTGGCTGGGGGTACTGGATTCTATAAGAAAGCAGGTTGAGCAAGGCATGAGGGCCAAGCCAGTAAGCAGCTCCCCTCCATGGCCTCTGCATCAACTCTGCCTCCAGGTTCCTGCCCTTTCTGAGTTCCTTGTCCTGGTTTCAGTGATGAACAGCTATGTGCAAATGTAAGCCAAATAAACCTGTCCTCCCCAACATGGTGTTTTGGCACAGTAATAGAACCCTAACTAAGACAAACAGCAACCAACTCCAGCCAACCAACAGAAATGTCCCAGAGTTGACGTTTACGCTGGTATCCCCCATCCTGACTTTCCATTGAGCATTCCCACTTCCCCGGGGCTCATCCTTGTCATCCATGTAATTCCTTTCTACTTCTAAGTGGGTGCTGTCCAGTGCTGATACAATGAGAGCTACAGAAGTCATTTTTAATTTCTCTGCTACCTATATTCAAAACAAACAAACAAACAAACAAAATCCACCAAAAGATAGAGCTTGTGAGACTCAGTAGTTTAAAGCATTACTGTACAGTACTGAGACCTGTAGTGTAGAGCCCAGCACAGCATCCACCAAACAAGCCAATTGTCTCTCTCTTCTCTCTTCTCTCTCTCTCTCTCTCTCTCTCTCTCTCTCTCTCTCTCTCTCTCTC